TAGAGGGATGGCAGCTAGCCATCACCACCCACCGCCAACTCTTGGGCTACTCTTTTACCAACGAATATTATAACGCCCCCTCGGCTGAAAGGGCAGCATGTTTAATGGGACGGGGATTCGAACTCACGACCTACGAGTAGAGCGCTCTAACCACCTGGCCATGCCAGGCCCTTAAAACGAAATAAGATGCCCATTTATTTAACTGATGTCCAAATTTCAAGTAATAAAATTCTTTTATTTTAAAATATGTAACTGATTTCGGCTTTGTTTCAATGCTAATTTTTTCATCACATACAGGGCAGTACTGAAATAGTTTAGGTAAGAATCTCCAAATTTGGAATTTTATAGAAACATTATATGCCCAGTTATCGTCACAAGGACTTAGGAGTGTTACTGTTCTTATCTAAGAGGTAGAAAATTAAAGTGCTATTGTAAACATGTAAACTGTTAGTAAAGTGTAAACTTGTGTAACTGTTAGTAAAGTGTGAACTTGTGTAACTATTAGTAAAGTGTAAACTTGTGTAACTGTTAGTAAAGTGTAAACTTGTGTAACTGTTAGTAAAGTGTAAACTTGTGCAACTGTTAGTAAAGTGTAAACTTGTGTAACTGTTAGTAAAGTGTAAACTTGTGTAACTATTAGTAAAGTGTGAACTTGTGTAACTGTTAGTAAAGTGTGAACTTGTGTAACTGTTAGTAAAATGTGAACTTGTGTAACTGTTAGTAAAGTGTGAACTTGTGTAACTGTTAGTAAAGTGTGAACTTGTGTAAGTGTTAGGACAAAGTAAAGTGTAAACATGTGTAACTGTTAGTAAAGTGTGATCTTGTGTAAGTGTTAGGACAAAGTAAAGTGTAAACATGTGTAACTGTTAGTAAAGTGTGAACTTGTGTAACTGTTAGTAAAGTGTGAACTTGTGTAACTGTTGGTAAAGTGTGAACTTGTGTAAGTGTTAGGACAAAGCTGGTTTTGCTGACTAACATTTTATATGGTCATGTGACTCATATGAAAAATAAGTAGTAAGGAAAGAGATAAAAATCACAAAATAATAACAGTCATAATATGATCTAAGATATTACCTACAATCTTTCTGTGAGGGTTGCATACCTTAAACAAAAATTAGAAATTGTTCTGAAAGAGCGAAAATTGAAACCGGTTTGTGTTGACACCAACAAACCTACTCGTTGGTTAGATTTCAGCTTGTTAAACGATTTTTAATAATTATGTGAAAGGTTAAAATAGAAAAGTAGAATAGTAATGGTCATATCAAATATTGTTGGTGTGATGAACGTGCTTATTATTATTATTATTATAGAATAGTAATCATCATATCAAATATTGTTGGTGTGATGAACGTGCTTATTATTATTATTATTATAGAATAGTAATGGTCATATCAAATATTGTTGGTGTGATGAACGTGCTTATTATTATTATAGAATAGTAATCATCATATCAAATATTGTTGGTGTGAACGTGCTTATTATTATTATTATAGAATAGTAATCATCATATCAAATATTGTTGGTGTGAACGTGCCTATTATTATTATTATAGAATAGTAATCATCATATCAAATATTGTTGGTGTGAACGTTCTTCTTCTTATTATTATTACAGAATAGTAATCACTCATGGTGACGTAACAATCAACATGTTGTAAGGCCATGATAAAAGCTGGGCAGGATATTTGTTTAGATATACACATTACAATGGAATATCTCATTCTAGAACAGTAAACAAGTACTTGTTTTCAAATTACGTTCAAAATCATTGAACAATCCAGTCAAACACAAGACGTTAGGTAAAATATATCAAGAACTATACAGACAGACAGGCTTTGTTTCATTGCTATTCTAACTAGGCTTGCCTCCTTCAGCCAAACACAACAGTTTATGTAAAATATATCAAGGACTATACAGACAGAAATGTTTTGTTTTACTGTTATTTTAACTGATCCTACCTCCTTCAGTCAAACACAACAGTTTATGTAAATTGTATGAACGATTATAAAGACAGACAGGTTTTGTTTCACTGTTATTTTAACTGATCCTACCTCCTTCAGTCAAACACAACAGTTTATGTAAATTGCATGAAGATTATACAGACAGAAGGTTTTGTTTCACTGTTATTTTAACTGATCCTACCTCCTTCAGTCAAACACAACAGTTTATGTAAATTGCATGAACGATTATAAAGACAGACAGGTTTTGTTTCACTGTTATTTTAACTGGGCCTGCCTTCCGACAAATCAAGAGACAATTGAACAAAACTCACCTCTACAGCAGCTTCCCTGTTCCCTGTTAATGGTTTGTCTACAAAAGTCACAGGAACGATCTCTTTTAAAGACTTTGGTCTTGAACGTGTGACTCAAAGGAATACCGTTTGTTGACTGTAATAAAAAACAAAAGTGGTTAGTATTTATATCGAATACACTCATAACAAAAAGTAAAAAACAACAAAAACAAAATAAGCAAATCTATGTCTATATATCCTTTATAACTAGATATCATATCATTTATATCAAAATATTAGAATGGATATGATATAGATATTTTATACTCTTTTTTTGTCACCCCTAGTTTGGCTACTTATGTACAGTATGCACTGTCTGCCCCTGGGCCGAAGGATTTAGAGGCGTGGTATTCCCCGATCAAACCCAGAAAAGAAAATGTCCCGAAAGGTAGATGAAACTTTTTAACATCTTTTTTTTTCTTTTTCTTCCAGAAATAAAAAAACAGTATTACCATTATATATGTTTCTTGTCCTCCACGCGCGCCCAGTAACTACGTGTCTAGTGTTTTGTTCTCTAATATCAGGATCACTATCAAAGCCATGCGCAAGCCGAGCTCACTATCGCAAATTCAACCGGTGTATGCTACAAAGTTCACCACAAAGACAAATATAACTAGTATTTAATATGCTACCTCATATGTGATAACAATAGTAAAAGGTTTACTCTACGGAAAACTTCGTCTACAGATTTAAAAAAGAACACTGAAGCCACAATAAAACTGACAGCTTTTTCTCGACTTTCATATGTCTGCATGTTTTTTTTAAAGCCATATTAGATTATCTGTTGTGTCCATCGTGGGGAATCGAACCCTGGATTTTAGCGTTCTAAGTCTGTAGATTTACCGCTGTCCCACAGTAGGACTATCCGCATACTGTGTGGCAAAGTTTCGATTTCAGTTTCAAAATGGTGACATACTCTACCATCGACAAATAGAGTTTGTAGCTTTAAATACAAAATAAAAATACTCTATCATGTTCCAAGAGATCGATAGATTTATTAAATAATTTTTTTATATTGGACGAAAAAAGAAAAGGAAGCGACATGATAAAACGACTTCCTAAAAGGTTCCAGTTCTGTATTAGTACGGACACAGTGTCTCAGATAAACGTCTGAGAAAGATTCATATGCACTGAAGAGCAAATCCTTAAATCTAACTAAGAACTGATGAGAAGTTATTTAAAGAGAAGTTGGCTAATAACATAAAATTTATACATATTAGATAAGCAGTTTTTCCCATGAAAACAATGAGCATTTCACTTTTATTGTACCAGTAATTTTTGAAGGTAAATATTTTGCTATCTTATTCTTTTTTCAGTTTTTAAGCAGTAGAAATGAGTACGTTGTATTACCATTTTTATAAAAGAACACTAAAAAATAGTGAATTTGTTTTATCACAAAAAACAACAACAAGTTTTGCAATAAATTTTCTACGTTTTTTATTGCACAGTGGAATATTGTAGGAACGGTTGGAGATGTTGTTCAGTAACTATTAGCAAACAAACTTTGAGTCCACTCCGCAAGTTTAAACCTTAATCTCGGAAAGTATACATGTGTTCGTTGTAATATAGTAAAAGTTTAAAGCAAATTGTCCGAACAAAGAAATAAATATTTGAAGTAAATTCAGTAGAACACATGTAAAGATTCATTACCGTTTTTACTTACACTCCAGAAATTGAAAATTGCAAGGATTTTACCTCAATCATGTTTGAAACACACACATTTGTTCCTGTGAATCATTACCATCATCTACTTGTTTTGTTGCTTCAAAATAAAAACGTTGCAACTGGTATTGCCGTAGAAGAGCATTACCATTCGTAAATTTTGAAATAAATTTTTAAAAAATGATATAATCTAGTGTCAAAGTTCGATTTTTTTAGCCTAACCCAAAACTTGAGTATATAAGATGTTTCTCGGTGGATCCTGTATGAAAAAAAGCACAAGGAATCCGATAAGTATCACGTCGGAATTCTAGAAAGTTTGAGATTTTACGCCACCAATATGGTGAGCTATTCGAAATATGTTTCATGGTATTCTTCTACAAACAATGACGACGAAAACTGTCATGCGTGATATCAAAATAATAAGATGGTATTTGTGTGAATATTCTTCCCAAATATCATGTTTCTGTTAAGGCGTTAGAAATGTTTATATTCTCTACAAGTTTGGGTTTTATTTTGTGCGTGTGTGTGTATACCTGCATGCGTGTTTGTTACTTAGAGAAGTTAATTTTGTTCACAAGATTGTTGGTGGTAGATCAGGAAAGGAAATAAGTCGGGAATTTCTTCAAAGAAGTAAAAACATTTGGTTTCTGTAATCCTTCCAACTTATGCAAAGTTTATATCCACTGGCGTCGCCAAAAGTAGAGTTTAAAATAGTGAATGTGGTTTAAGTATAACATCGCCAAATGAGCCTCTTCTTACTTTTGTAAAATTATCAAATCAACCAAGGCTTACAATATTCATACCGAACTAGAGCGGTCACTCCAGGAGAATAATTTACTGACAGTGAAATGGTAAAAGCTTTGTGTTTCTGTTTATACATCGAAAGTAGGAAAAACAAACAGCTTTCCGTTCCTTAGATCAATCTGGCGATGCATCTCCAATTAAGCGACCTCGTAACAGAGACATAAGAACTGTATTTTATGTGGCAAGGAATGTGAGTAACATGAAAATTGAGTTACATGTACAAGATGCTGTACGGATCGACAAGTTGAGTTACATGTACAAGATGCTGTACGGATCGACAATTTGAGTTACATGTACAAGATGCTGTACGGATCGACAAGTTGAGTTACATGACAAGATGCTGTACGGATCGACAAGTTGAGTTACATGTACAAGATGCTGTACGGATCGACAAGTTGAGTTACATGTACAAGATGCTGTACGGATCGACAAGTTGAGTTACATGTACAAGATGCTGTACGGATCGACAATTTGAGTTACATGTACAAGATGCTGTACGGATCGACAAGTTGAGTTACATGACAAGATGCTGTACGGATCGACAAGTTGAGTTACATGCAAGATGCTGTACGGATCGACAATTTGAGTTACATGTACAAGATGCTGTACGGATCGACAAGTTGAGTTACATGAAAACTAGAAACTGGAATCAAGAAACAAACAAAGGCTTTATAAACAATAATGGATGCCAACGGTGCAGTAAGTAAAAGTAGCCCAACACCTTTTGCGTCTATTGTTGGCAATACTACGTGAACCATTTCGCACGGCATCATTACCGAGCATCATGGTTTGTAATATTTTAACCAACCAGATACAACACAGATACACTGCCTTACAAATAGCCATAGGTATTATTGTAAAAATAAAACAAGGTCATTTAACGCCTTTAAGATTTTGGAGTAATCTGTCCTTACAAAGAAATTCTAAGAGCTAAAGACTTTGCAGCATCTCCTGCAGGGTGGGAAATATCAAGCCACAGTTGATGATCCTTCGATAGGACTTGTACAATCTGTTCCACATAATATTGATGCAAACAAAGCGCAACAGAATATATTTTTATCTGCGCATGCAGTTGTTCTGTGTTGCAATCAACCAGAAATATTCCTTCTGCTGGACTCGATGTACCAACGTTTCGGTGATCTAAGACTAAAACATCACGATTGTTTTTACCAACAGATTTGGTACTGAAGTAACTCCATAAGAGATGATCTGCTGCTATAAGTCCTGGGAGATGTGGATGTGTTACTGTTCGTCTTTATTGTACTGTCATAATTCATGTAACGAAAATGAAGACTGCCTTAATCTTTGCACAAAAATGGTCGGAAACACAGGAGACGATGACTTAATAGAAGAAATAAACAAATATGAGAAGAAACTCTATCAAGGTAGGGAGGTGGGGGTGAACAGGGTGGGTCTCATAGCATGATATCAGCCACTTGCACGTGGTGAGACTAGGATACTGATTGCTGAGTTATACAAGTCAATAATTTGCTAAGAGTTGCTCTGAAATAGTCTAACAAATTTTAAAACATTAGAATACATCTTAATATGTACATTTTTTGCAGAACTACAACATCAACATGCTTATATTTACATTCTTTATTCGAAGAGGTTTCATCTGACGCCGTGCGTGGCCGTTTTCGTGGCACGATGCTTATTAATCAACATAAAACAAATTTCGAGTGGTCCGTCATGTCGATGACGTCATAACTAAAAAAAACCCCCTGCAAGGAAATGTTTCACAATATCGATCAATGTGACTTAGTCTGGTGCTGCACCCTACAAACTCAAAATATGAGTATATAAGATTTTTCTCGGATGATTATTTACGAAAAAAGTATAATGAATACAATTACGATGGGTTATTCTTCAATCTCTTTAAACATTTATTGTTTGTGACGTTATACAGGAGAATGTTCCGGCCTCATAAGCCACGACACCATGTTTTAATCCACATAGCTATTAGATAATGTTGATTTGACTACAGTAAAGGAATACGGTGAAAGTAGTCAACTGATGTTGAAGCAAAATTTCATGTTCTTGGTTTACACGTGGGGGAAAATAATGAAAAATCTATTTCAATAGTACCTTAAATATTCTTTTGGTTGATATATCTTTTACTCCACCTTAGCCGTACATCACCGTACAGATAGGTTCAACATTATGTATGTACATGATATGAACACACTGACAGTAAACCCATAAAGATTCTGTTACTTGAATATCTTTTACTGGACCTAGCCGTACATCACAGTAGAGGTAGGTTCAACAACATTACGTATGTACATGATAGGGACACATTATCAAATAATGCATAAGGATTCTGTTAGTTTGTATATGTCTTACTGGACTTGTTGTTTACTATGGTACTTATACGTCAACATTCAACTTACAAGTGAAATGTGGTGAGAAGAGAGAGTTTTTCTGTTTAAGAAAGACATAATATAGAGTGTTTAAACCAGTGTGTTATTAAAGTGTTGGAGTATGAAAGTGAAGAAGTAGTAAAGTGATGGAGTATGAAAGTGATGGAGTATGAAAGTGATGAAGTAGGAAAGTGATGAAGTAGAAAGTGATGGAGTATGAAAGTGATGAAGTAGGAAGGAGATGAAGTAGGAAAGAGATGAAGTAGGA